GAGAGAGAGAGAGAGAGAAAGAGAGAGAGAGAAAGAGAGAGAGCCACCACCTTCCCCGCCCAGGGCCCCCCCCAAAAAAAAACACCCACAACCTCCCAACTTTGTTTTTCCGCACAACTGCCCCCACGACATCCCCTGCCCTCGAGCAACCCCATCACGCGCGCGCGCTCTTTTTTTTATGAGTGCGCGCACCTTAAAGCGCTTTGAGCACGTTTGAGCGCGCGGGGTGTCTTTAAGCGTGCGCGCTCGTGCTTATGCGATACGGTTTCATAGTTCTTTGACTCCTCTCTCTCTCTCTCTCTCTCTCTCTCTCTCTCTCTCTCTCTCTCTCTCTCTCTCTGACCCACACCCACACAGACGCACATGTCTTCTCGCCCCCCCACGCGCCCCCAGCAGTGTCTTTTCTTGCGCCCAGTGATCCCGCGCGGCGCACTCTTTTTAACACCATTTGATACCACACAGAGGGGGGGAAATGAACCACACAGATGAAACTTGGCTGACTGGTACTGTGGCGTGGCCGTTGTTTTTCCGCCTCGCCCCGAAGCCCTTGTTTTTTCCATTTCCCCATACCGCCTTGTGGCTTTTTGTCTTTTTCACAATTGGGAACTATCCTGCGGACTTCTCTCGGTCTGCCGCATGGTGGACATGGGGCAGAAACAAAAGGGCCGTGCAATACCGCCATTCGGCCAAGCTGCCGTTTGGGCCGATGTGATTCCCTGCGAGGATCTCACAAGACAGCATCATGCAAGAGACAGCGATGCAGAGGTAAGAGAAGGTGCAGTCTGCTGTTTCTGGCATGTCTCGTCTGAAAGCAAGAAAAAAGATATAATAATAAATTGCAAAAATGATGAAAGAGAGGGGCTGAGGGGCGCACCCTGATAGACAGAGCAGTCGACCACTTCCGATGAGACAGGCATCCCCAACATCATTGTTGATCTCGTCATTACACACAGCATCCAGAGTTGCTGCACAAGTTCTGTGCTCTCTCTGTCTGCTGAACTCGCACTCATCTTCCCTTTGCCAGTCTGCCGAAGCATCATGTGTATGTTCCCCACATCCAACAACCGATCCCATCTTAGTGCCTGTTTTACTCCTGAGGTCATTCCTGTCAGTTGAAAGACTTGTCGACTCCTGAGCTCTCAGCTGTGAAACAGCTTGATCGAGTGGTCGATGCCCTCCAGTTAAAAGAACTCCTCTCCGGTCCATAATTTCCAACGTGGTGACAAGTAGATTTAGGAGGGCGCCAGGGTTACTTAACAAGCCCATGCTGTTGTTGCAAAAGCCAGCAGAGCAGTTGCCAAGATAAGATCAAATTAGACGAGCAGTAATGTGAAAAGCAGGAATGTGTATGGTGTGTAGACAGTGAATGGTGCAATCGAGGACAGGAATGAACTCTGATAATTAATCAACAGCTATCCACAAGAACTTTTCTTGTTTGCTTTCTTCCCTCTGATCCATGCCAGGATGTGTATTCTGATAAATGCAATGCACGAGAACTTTCATTGATTGTTTTCTTCCCTCTGATCCCTGCCAACCTCTATCTCTGAACTCTTTCTTTCAGGTCTTTCGCTCATTTCCTTTCCAGGAAAACATCACACTATGGGTATAGGGTTTCCTTCAATTCCCGAAGACATTACCCCAGTTAACCGTTGACAGTCCTATGTCTACTGAAAGTTAAAAATTGTATCAATATGGACTCTCTCTCTCTCTCTCTCTCTCTCTCTCTCTCTCTCTCTCTCTCTCTCTCTCTCTCTCTCTCTCTCTCT